AATCAGGAAAGAATCACAACAATGATTTGGACGTGAATATTCACTCAGCCCGAACGTCCGCTATTATCTATTATAGTTTCTTTTTTTTTTTTTAAGATTTTATTTATTCATGAGAGATACAGAGAGAGAGAGAGAGAGAGAGAGAGAGAGAGAGGCAGAAACACAGGCAGAGGGAGAAGCAGTCTCCATGCAGGCAGCCCGACATGGGACTCAATCCGGGTCTCTAGGATCATGCCCTGGGCTGAAGGCAGTGCTAAGATGCTGAGCCACCCGGGCTGCCCTCTATTATAGTTTCTATTATAGTTTATTAACTATTTTTTTAAGTTTTTTTTAATTTTTATTTATTTATGATAGTCACACAGAGAGAGAGAGAGAGAGAGAGAGAGAGGCAGAGACATAGGCAGAGGGAGAAGCAGGCTCCATGCACCGGGAGCCCGACATGGGATTCGATCCCGGGTCTCCAGGATCATGCCCTGGGCCAAAGGCAGGCGCCAAACCGCTGTGCCACCCAGGGATCCCTAGTTTATTAACTATTATAGTTTTGTTGTACATCCATTTTAACACCTATACTCACCTATATTGTTTTCAGAGAACCTTCAAATTATCACAAGTGATTTTTTTTTTTTTTACGATTTTATTTATTTGACAGAGAGTGACTGCATGTACGTGCACAATCAGGCAGAGCTGAGCAGAGCACCCTACTTGGGGCTCAATTCCAGGACCCTGGGATCATGACCTGAGCTAATGGCGGACTTAACTGACTGAGCCACCCAGGTGCTCTACAAATGATTTTTAAGGGTGAAAGATTTATGCGGTCTGAAGAGAAACCAGAGTATACAAATGATTTTTAAATGCATATTTCATTCTATTCTTTCCCTTTTGCAGACAAAGGAAAGCAGCAGTTAGATAAGGAAGCAACAGGTGAACCAAGGAACCTGTAAACAAAAAGAAACAGTAGGCCATATTTACAGTTGATGCAAATGTGTGGGTCACAATTGGGGATAGGCAGTTATGGCTAGGCTCAAAGTTAAATAAATGACCCAGACCCACAAGATTTTGAGCAAAGGACTAATACAATCAATACTACACATCTGAATTTGCATTTGGCCTAGAGCAGTGTTGTAGCTCCTTTCCCAGTATTTCCCTCCTCTCCCACAGTGGGTCTCTGCTCCAGGCGATCCCCCTTGTCTGATCCCCTTCACTTGAATCTTGAATAGTCTTACACTTGTCTTGACCAACAGAATGTGACAAAAGTGATGCTACATAACTTACAAGGCTTGCTTCCGCCTTGCAGCTTCTGGTCTTGGGACTCTCAGTGTGCGGACTCTAATGAAATTCAGATCAACTGTTAGGGGCAAGAGCAGGCACTAATTTGCTGATGCAAATGAAAGTCACTGATACAGGGCAGCCCGGGGGGCTCAGCGGTTTAGCGCCGCCTTCAGCCCAGGGCCTGATCCTGGTAGACCCAGGATCCAGTCCCACGTCAGGCTCCCTGCATGGAGCCTGCTTCTCCCTCTGCCTGTGTCTCTGCCTCTCTCTCTCTCTGTATCTCGCAAGAATAAATAAATAAAATTAAAAAAAAAAAAAAGAAAAAGAAAGTCACTGATACAACCCACTGACTTAGACTAACTTACTAAAAACTGTCCTCTTTTGAGAAATGGGGATACAGGCTATCTGTTTAGAACTCTCCATTTGTGCATTAGATGATGCCTTTTGAGAGTGCTCTTGTGGAAGTTGAGGTAGTCATTGTTATACAGAGTAAACTTGACATAGCCCCTGCCCAGCACAGTTTATGAGCTTAAAACCAATGAGCTCACATCCATAGATATGCACATGAGGCAAAGACCAGAGGACCACAGGCAGAGATTACACACAGCATTACACACTCTTGATTTGTTTCTGTTATTAGAACGAAGTTGGTAGGATACTAAATATAGGACACTCCTGGATTTTATGAAATCTTTTTAAAGCATACATCACAAGACCTGTAGAAAGCATCACTGCTTTTACAGAATTAACCATGGGAACCCTAAGGTGATCCATTTAATTCAATGAAGCATCTATCACAAGGTGATCTGAGGTAGTAGGTACTAGAATGAACCAGGATCACTTTACCCATCCAAGTGAATGGATTTTTAACCTGTGTTCTCCTTGCAGGAATCTAAGATTTTCTCCTACAAAGAGTTCCAAAGTCTCCACCCTCTAGATGACTTATTAGCCACAAAAGGGAAAGTAGACATTCTAATAAACTATATAGAGAAATCTGGAGGACAATTCAGATTTCAGTTATTGACACTGTATCTTTAAAAATTAATATTTTATGTTTACTATTTAATACTATGTTCTTCCTGATGGGAAACAATAGGAAGGGCACCTCCTAAAGTTTGAAGGATTTTTGACATCTGTCAGACCTCTTGATCTTCCTTCTAACTTATAGTAAATGTGGGAACTAGAGAAAAGGTCAAATGATATCAGGAGGAAAAAAAAGTCAAACGGAGAGAGCAGTTACCTCTGCCAGGTAACTGGCTTAGCCGCTCCAAAAAGTTAATGCCATGAAAACAAAATACATGACGTGTGTGTGTTGGGGCGGGGGGGTTGGTTATTCTGCATGTAAGAGATGAGCAGGGCAGCCTGGGTGGCTCAGCGGTTTAGCACTGCCTTCAGCCCAGGGCCTGATCCTGGAGACCCGGATCGAGTCCCACATCGCGCTCTCTGCATGGAGCCTGCTTCTCCCTCTGCCTGTGACTATGCCCCCCCCCCTTTCTGTGTCTCTCATGAATAAATAAATAAAATCTAAAAAAAAAAAAGGATGGGACAGCCTGGGTGGCTCAGCAGTCTAGTGCTGCCTTCAGCCCAGGGTGTGATCCTGGAGTTCCGGGATCGAGTCCCACATCGGGCTCCCTGCATGGAGCCTGCTTCTCCCTCTGCCTGTGTCTCTGCCTCTCTATCTGTCTTTCATGAATAAGTAAATAAAAAGAGAGAGAGAGAGAGAGAGAGAGAGATGAGCATAACAAATGCAATGCATGCATCTTCAATTGGAACACCTTTCAACAAAAGCAATATATAAGACACCTTTTGACAATTGAGAGAAATTTGTAAATGGGCTAGATCAGGTTATTGCATCACTAAGTTTCTTAGAGGTGATTAGGCTCCTTATGTGGTTGCACAGAGGGACGTGTGTCTATTAGTAGCAAATGCAGGCTGAAATATTTCGGAGAGAGACCAGGCCAGTAGGGCAAACTGTTAACACTTACCCAACCTGGGAGTTGAGTACTTGGGTGCTCCCTGAACTATTCTTCCAACTTCCCACGTGGTGATGCTGGAGCCAAGCTGTTCGCAGTCCCACAGCGGAGCGGCCAGAATGGGCAACTGTTTCCAGATGGCACTGTGCCAGCGGTGCTGGGAGAGGAGAGGAAATATTATTTCTGGATCAATTCAACCTCCTCCACCCAAAGACCGGCACGACCAGAACCCATACAGCAACACCCAGCTCCCACGCCTCAAGAAGCGCTTCTCCCACTGGGTGACCGACTCCGGGTAGGACAGACTTTCTGTGAATTCTCCAAGGAAGTTTCCAGGGGCAGCCCGGGGGGCCCAGCGGTTTAGCGCCGCCTTCGGCCCAGGGCGTGATCCTGGGGACCTGGGATCGAGTCCCGCGTGGGGCTCCCTGCGTGGAGCCTGCGTGTGTCTCTGCCTCTGCCTTTGTGTGTGTGTGTGTGTGTGTGAATGGATGAATAAAATCTTTTTAAAAAAATTATTTTTTTTTAAGAGTTTCCAGATGGATTCCCCGAAAGCAGGCGCCTTCCGGGGATTCCTGGCCGGACACCGTCCAGGGTAACCTGCCGCGTCCCACCTCACCCCACCCCCTTCGTCCTCCGTGGACTCTAGAAGGACGCACCTTCCTTCTGCGACTGAAGAACTTCCCGAGGTTTCTTCTCCACCTCACAGCTCCTCGCGGCCTGGAACAAGCGAGTCCCCTCAGGGCCGCCTCGACGCCAGGCGTCCCCGCCGCTCGTAAACAGGGCAGAATCCTGGCCGCAGCCCCGCGGGCCTCGGAGGTGAAACGCGTACCTGAGGGCCCCGCGGCGGGGACGCGAGGCGGCGGCGAGGCGGCGGCGCGGGGGCGCCCCGACGGCGGGCGGCGGGCGGCGGGCGGCGGGCGGCGGGCGGCGGGCGGCGGGCGGCGGGCGGCGGGGGTCGCGCCCTCGGCGCTCGGGGCCCGCGCGTGCGTGCGTGCGTGCGTGCGTGCGAGCGAGCGTGCGAGGGGCTCCCGCGTGGTCTGCGCGCGCCCGGCCGTGCGTGCGGCTGCGGGAGGCCGCGAGCGCGCGCGGGGCGGCAGCGGCGGCCGCCAGCCCGGGGCGTGGGGGCGGCTCCGAGCGGCGCGCGGGAGGTGAGCGCGAGGCCGGGCGGCCGGGGGCGGCCCGAAAGCCCCGGAGACCGCGGGGCGCGCTGGCGGGCGTGGCCCCGGGGCTCGCTCCTCCGCTGCCGGGGCGGCGAGGCCGGCGAGGCCGGCGAGGCCGGGGGCGGGCGGGCCCTCTCCCGGAGCAGCCGCGCCCGGGGCTCCGGCCTCCGCGACGAGCCGCCGCCGGCCCCGCGGTGAGCGCGCCGGGAGGGGCTCGGCGGGGCCCCGGGCGACGCGGAGGGGCGCGGGGGCGCCGGGGGGGGGGGGGGCCCGGGCGCGGCTGCGGGGAGCTCGCTGTCCTCCTGCGCGCCCGGCCGGAGGGCGCGGCCCCGGATCCCGGTCGCCCCGGGCCGCTCCCGCTCCCGCTCCGGGACCCGCCCGGGGACCCGCTCCGGGGCGCGTTGGCCGCGACGCGGGGGGAGGCCGGGGCCAGGGGCCCGGGTTCCGTGGCTTTCCCAGCAGGCCCGGGCGGGAACGCAGCCCCGAGGCGGTGGGGAGAGGGCCTGGGAGGCCAGCTGGGGGAGGGCTCTTCTTGTAGGGGACGGACCGTGAGCAATATGCGCCCGAGGAGGAGAACGGGGAATTAGGTAGAGGGAAAGGGAAACCCCGAGGAGCTAGGGCTGCACGACTTGGGAGAGGCGGACTTAACGGGCACGCAGGCATTTTAAGAGAGATCCGAAAGGTGCAATGGGGCCTCACTTTTCCAAGCAGCGAGGAATGATGCCTGCAGTAACAAGCACGCGTTGCATTCCGTGTTTCCTTCTCTTCCACTCCTCGCTGTTGGCCCGGGAGGGAGATTTGCAGGGCAGAGATGGGGTGTTTGTTTGTTTGTTTGTTTGTTTTGTCCCACCCCCACCCCCCTCCGTATTGTGCGCATAATGCCAGCGTTTACGGACCTGGCTCCTTGCTCAGGAAAAGCTAGTAGCAAGGAACAGATGACCAAACTGTATCTTTTTTTTTTTTTTTTTTCCTGTGCTCAGAGGTTAAGTGAGATCTGAGTTTGCAGTCTTCAACAACTGGGAGTGAGTTTGTGTTTCCGCTTTCCCCAGGTGTCTTAGGATGTAGGGAGGTGATTTTGTGCTCCCAGAAAGTGTTGATGCCTGATGAAAAGCACGTCTGAGCTGGTATCAGTCTGGAGGAGGGAGCTATTTATTGAGAGATAAGAGTCTAAAACGTTTCTTTCTCCTAGACTAGAAGGTCCACTCAAGTCAATCGGTCGTTGTAAATTCCAGCCACGAAAATAAAGCCTGTTATCACAACAGTGGCCAAATTATAATTCCAGATTGGATACCTAAGGTGGTTTGAGAGCAGGGAGGAAGAAGGGAGGACCAAGGCTTTCCCGAAAATGAGATGCTGAGGTGTAATGACTTACTTCTGTAGCAGCTTGCTGGGTTATAGAGAACATTGATTTTAGATGTCATGTTGCTCAGTGTTGTTGAGTTGTGACTTAGAAGTATTCTTTTTCTGTCCTTTTGCTCAGTAGTTCACAGCAAATCGCTTAATTAAAGCATGGAATATGGAAAACAGCAGAAAAACATCTCATCTGATTTAGTCTCATCTGAAATTCTGTAGGTAAGTTCATCTTACTTTAATTAAGAAATTATTCTGACTGGTTAAAATGGACTGTAATAATCTCCTTTACAAGGTTTTAAGGACCATTTACACAACCACAAATTCTGTTGTATATTCTAATATATATATATATGTTTTTTTTCCCCTGAAGGATTTAAGGAGTTGTAAGTGTTAAGCTTTATTTTATTTTTTTAAAGACTTTATTTATTCATGAGAGACACACAGAGAGAGAGAGAGAGGCAGAGACATAGGCAGAGGGAGAAGCAGGCTCCTCCCTCGCAGGGAGCCCAATGCAGGACTCGATCCCAGGACTCCAGAATCACTTCCTGAGCCAAAGGCAGATGCTCAACCACTGAGCCACCCAGGCGTCCCAGTATTAAGCTTTATTAAACCATTTTGGATGAAACATATGTTTCTAAAATTTCGGTTATTGTTAAACTACTGTGGTATCTCAGGAAAAATTAATTATATGAACTTAATTTGGTTGTCATATTCACATTCACCTTTATATTCACCTTTTTATTCCTAAAAAAGATACTCAAGTGAATATTTTTTCTCCTATTCTTTCCCCTTGAAATGGCTTTCCTTCTCTCTGTGCCCTGTCTGCAGCTCTGTTCTTTCCACCATTGGGTGATACAGGGGTAGTCCCATTTGAGGAAGTGCCTTTATTGCATTCACAACTATATAATGTGCAGGCCAAATATGCTTTTTTTCTTACAGTTCTGACAGTTGTCATTGCTTATCCCTGCTCACTGCATGGTAACCACGCTGTACAACTTGATGAATGGGGTCAAATGTGGGGGATCAGATAGGATGCCCTTAAATGGCCTTGTACAGCAGATGCATTCGGAAGTTGCAGTTCATTTGACAGCTTGTCTTTTGCAAATATCTCTTTTTGGGACCACGAACGATGGTTTTGTTTCAGTAAAAAGTTGCCTATTATAAATATTGATTTGCTTTTGGCACCAGAGCTTTTGGTGCATTGTGAATTAGATGAGAGGGGAAGGTGAGGGTATGTGCAGGAAGCGTGGTTTATAGGAGGTTTGTCTAGATGAGGGGGAGATGAAGCTAGGGAACATCCCTAGGGTGAGGCCCTGAGATGCTGCAGGATGGAAGATTTTGCTAGGGAGATAACCTATAGCCCTTGAAGCTCTGAGAAATGAGGTATACAGATAGGAGCCAGAAAGCTAGATTAGATTATTAACTTTTCATTCTATGTGTTTCTGACCCTGAGTTAGTCAGGAAGCCAGGCCTTTTGTTGTCCCCTTAGAGTATCCGTAGCCTAGGTTAATACTTATCAGCCCTGTCAACCCTCCAGGAACCGTGTTATATGGGGAACATGTTACCACCACCACTAGGATCCCCTCTTCAGTAATGAGGAAACACAGAGAAGAAAGATCTTAGGAGATTTTCTTTTCTTTTCTTTTTTCTTTTCTTTTCTTTTCTTTTCTTTTTTCTTTCTTTCTTTCTTTCTTTCTTTCTTTCTCTCTCTTTCTTTTTCTTTTCTTTTCTTTTCTCTTCTCTTTTCTTTTTTCTTTTCTTTTTTTTTTTCTTTTCTATTCTTTCTTTTCTTTCAGCTCCATGCCCACTGTAGGGCTTGAACTCAGGACCCTGAGATCAGGAGTCACATGCTCTACCAACTGAAACAGCCAGGCTTCCCAGGAGATTGAGATTTTCTTGATGTTCTAAGGTATGCCATTTCATGGGGCTTAGAACTCTTCCAGACCAGCAGCCTGTTTGGTAAATAAGGTTTATTAGAGCACAGCCACACCTATTTGTTTAATATTGTCTATGGCTCCATTTTTGCTACAAACAGAATCATGTGTCTGAGACAGAGACTGTGTGGCCCATAAAGAAAATAATTGCTCTCTGCCCTTTTACTTAATTTTTTTTTTTCCATTCTGTGACTGGAACATAGATTTCCGCTAAACTCCCAAGCTGTGCATTTGGAACAGGCTCTTTAAACTTAGCATAAAGAAGGACTATATTTGGCTTCTATTTTTGGTAACAGACTTTGTTTTTAAGGGTGGAGATACCCATTTTCTAAGACAAAAAAAAAGTATTATCAACTCTTCTTTCTTTCCTTTCTCTAAACAGATAGTAGGTTCTATAATTTGCGTTTTTATCAAGCATCTCTACATTCTTAGAGTGCAAAGTTGGCTCCCTGCCATGTACCCTGACCACACATTTAGAGACATTTGATCTGGGAGGTCTCCCTCCCATCCTCTCTAGGTGGGCTTTATCATAATGTTCAGTCTGGCCCTTAGAGTCCTAAACCTTCCTCCATGCTCTGCCTGGTGTCAGCAACTTGAAGGCAAGGCAGGTATCTTTTTCCCCATTGCAGGAAAGCCTCTAACACAGGTCTGGCATATCAAATGAATAAATGAAGGACATACACTCAGATATCCAAGGAAAAGGTAATCAGTGACTTAGCCTGACAAACAAGAATGACAAAGATATGTAATATTCCTAACCTAGGTCAACAATGAGAAGAAATATTAACTAGAGCAGTTTCCCCTGTCCTTTTCCTCCAATGGGTAAAGCTGTTTATAACAAAACAGAGACAGGAAGCCCAGCTTTCAAGCCAGCCTTCCTGCTATTCAGCCTGACCTGTACGATCTCTGCTCTGCTCCAGTTTTCCTAGATTCTCTCCAGACCCAGTCATCTTGTTACCTCTTCCCTCAGGCTGTTCCGTTCACGTGGCTGTTCAGGGGTGCCTCTCACCCCTGAGTGCAGAGGTACACTTTTGCTCTGTTTGGGTGTTTAGGTCAGTATTATATCCTCACAGTCCAGCATGAGCCCAAGAAGTATATGTTGAACATATGACTGGCTATGGAAAGCACGCTGGCTGTGATTAATCAGCCGATTTTGAAACCAATGAGACAGTGTTTTGGGGCTCACTTTTCCAGGAAGACCATTTGGTGCCCTGCCCTCTTCAGAGAAGCTTAACTCTTGTGTGTTATCTAAGGCTTTCCTTGATCCTCAGGTGGAGGAACCCTTTTGAATATGGAGATAAGTTAGACAAGTGCTCTGAATCTCTTCTGGCTCCTGATGGTCATTGCTTTTGTATTTGAGTATTTGCTAGTGTTTACCAAAGCTCAGTAATTTATTCAGGGTTATTTGGAATATAAACTCATTATTAACATTATTCTTCTCAGTAATTCCTCCATTTCTGAAAAGTGGACTTGAAACACTAGTTGGAAATTGGGTGAGAATTAAAAAGAGCATGATTTGCTTGGAATTGAACAGTGTTTGCACATAGAATTCCCCCCCTTTTTTTTAAGATTCTGGATTAGCTTTGACAGTTCTGCATCCCTGAGGAAGATCAGAGGTATTGCGCTACGTGGAAGAGAGCCACATGGAAGATGGCAGGCCAGTGCAATTAACACAAATTAGGAAGGATGCATTGTGGTGCAGTGGTTGTGGAGTCCTCTCTGGATGATGACCCCTGGATCCCCAGCCTTGCTTTTAGTTGTGAGACCCTAACTAATGATCAGGTCTCCATATCTCCGTCTCCTCAACTGGAAAATAAATGCTGTAGTAGTAGTGCCTACCTCAAGATTGTTTTAATCAACATATAGTGGAAGTACAGAAAGTTCTTACTGCAGTGCCAGGACCAAGCCAGGGCTTTGGCTAAAATTTTGGAGAGAGGACAATGTGAAGAAATTGGATAAAGTAGAAAGCAAGTTCTTTTTGACGTTAATTTTGTTTGCCCTGACAGAGTAAAGCATACTTCTTTTTTTTTTTAATTTTTTATTATTTATTTATGATAGTCACAGAGAGAGAGAGAGAGAGGCGCAGAGACATAGGCAGAGGGAGAAGCAGGCTCCGTGCACCGGGAGCCCGATGTGGGATTCGATCCCGGGTCTCCAGGATCGCGCCCTGGGCCAAAGGCAGGCGCCAAACCGCTGCGCCACCCAGGGATCCCAAGCATACTTCATTTTTGAGTGTTATTAAATTCAGCTAGGATAGTGGTTACAGTTCATCCACTCAGTAAATAAAATTTGATTTTCTGTTATATGTCCAGCTGTGCTTGAAAGTAAGAAGGAGGGATGTAAACTTTATCAAATATGCATAATCCTTAAAATAGATTGATGCCACTTGAATATTTCACACCTTGGTTTGAAAAGGTTAATGTATTTTGTAGTTCTCCTCCAGTTGCCAGAAGTACCTATTGTAGGACTTTTGACAGTTCAAATCATTCTCAGTTATGGGAAGATCATAGGCAGGAGGAAGATCATGGGAGAGGGGAGCTTATACGGAAGAGGAACTGAAGAAGTTCACATTTGGCATGTGAACCTCTACTAGTAGTTCCTGTGGGCTTATATATTCAGGGTAGTAAAACGTTAGGAACCTTAAGAGCTAGAGGAAACACCATCTTTGGACTCTAAAAGGAAGCTTATTGGAGTGCCTAGCTGGCTCAATTAGAGCGTGTAACTCTTGATCTCAGGGTCGTGAGTTCAAGCCCCACATTGAGTGTAGAGCTTACTGGGGAAAAAAAAAAAAAAAGGAAAGCTCACTAATTTTGAGGGAGACTGTAGATAAACTAGAATTTATTTGCAAGTTTACATATACTGTAGACAATATGGTATCATATAAGAGACATTGGGAGTTAGCTGCAGGCTCTATAAATGGAACAAATGTAAGCAAATAGTAGTAAGTTAGAGGAATATGTAGTGGACTGTAATAATGAGAGGAGTACCATCTACAGAGTTCTGATTCGCTGGGATCAGATGGGGTTGGGCCTGAGGCTCTGCATTTCTAGTAAGCTCCCAGGTAGTGCTCATGCACTGTGCTTTGAATAGTGAGATCTAGAACAGCACATTGGAATCACCAGGAAAGCTTTAAAAATCCTGCCATCTGAGCCTAACCTCTCTCTGCAACTCTCATTTAGTCCCCAGTATAAACTGGCTTCCAGAGTTTTTCAGATTCTCTAAGGTACTGTAATACAATAGCCAAATTTAAGAACCACTGGGTTTGGAAAGAAAGGGAAGAGAGGG